TATATATATATATATATATATATATATATATATATATTTCTAGTGTTGATGGGACTCATAGACATACGTGGGTGGTTGTTCTGTTCTGCAGTGCAGGGGATCAAACACAGGGTCACATACATGCTAGGTGAATACCACTATGCTATACCTGAAGCTTTTACAGTTTTAATAATACCAACCTTGCAGAGCTTTGGAAAAGTTGCAAATAATGTATGTGATGTTTAGAGCATAGTGCCGTCAGTATGGTAAACCAACAGCTAATATTCACTGCTACAGGACTGCATACAGGTTCGAGCTGTGAGCCTGAGCTCTGTAGTCATTCTGGCTTCTAGGTTCACCATTTAGTCGTTGTGTACACTTGGGCAAGTTATTCAGCCTTTTAGCTGTGGCCTCACATACCTGCACTGTTCCGAGGATTCAATGAGCTAAAGTATGGGAAAGTGTCAAGGGTAGTGCATAAGCTATTGTGCAATAATTCTTTAATACATAGCAAAGTATTGTCACTATAAATAGACTAGTTTATTTAGGTTAAGATTTGATTTCTTAGTAGCAGAATGAGACTGTCCTAGGGACCTACTTCTGACTTTTTTCTACCAATTGGTGAGATCCTAGGCAAGCTAATAAACCAATCCAGGTCACAGTGGATGTTCTATACATGAATGAATGAAGTAGATGTTCTCAGGTTCCTTCCAGCTCTGCTATTCTGTTTAATTCATAGTTTATTGAATGCTGAATTAGTGTGATTATTTTCTTGGGGACTATATAAGGGAAAAGAGTTCAACCATGGTGTTTTGTTTTGTTTTTGTCTTTTTGAGACAGGGTCTTACTATATAGTTCAGGCTGGCCTTGAGCTCACTTTGTAGCCTAAACTGGCTTCAACTCACAACAATCCTCCTGCGTCAGCCTCCCGAGTGCTGGGACTATAGGCATGCACCACCACACCCAGCTTCAAACATGTTTGTTTTTTGTTTTTGTTTTTTTCCTCCGGTACCGGGAACCGAACTCATGACCTTGCGCTTGCCAGGCAGGCGCTTTTGCCGCTGAGCTAAATCCCCAGCCCCTAAACATGTTTTAATTAAAGAATACATTTGGTTTTTGGCAGGAAGCAGAATTTAAGAAGGCTAAAGGAAGAGAAGCATTATATTGAGGTTTCAAGCAGAGAGAAAAAGAAAGAGGAAGGAAGGAAGGAAGGAAGGAAGGAAGGAAGGAAGGAAGGAAGGAAGGAAGGGAGGGAGGGAGGGAGGGAAGGAGGAAGGCAGGGAGGAATGCGCTAGCAGGGAGAAGCAGAGACGCTGGGGAAAATGCTTCCCAGGAATCCTCCCTGTCCTGGTGGGTCCGGATCTCTGTGACAAGCCATGTGTTCTGCTATGTTCCTGAGATTTTCCTGGATGCCACCTTCTTTTCTGAATCATATTTCATTCATGAAGTTTTACTTAACCTTGAAATCACAGTATAAACTTTTTATATTGTTTCAGTGTGTTAAATACAATCACAGTCAGTCAGCCACAGAAAGAAAAGTTTAAAATATATCCTGTTCCTTTTCTCCTCTAAAAAGGATACAGTCTGATGATGTACAATTTGAGTAAAATGTTACCAATAATTGTAATGGGAGTGGGAAGCCGGTGTCCATGGACACTCCTGTAGTCACAAGTGCGTCAGTTCAACAGCCTTGCCCGTGTGTAGCTGCCAGCACTGAAGGTTCTGTGAGCGTTAATCCTGATGGGCAGGCTGTTGGCTTGAGAGATGCTTGTGAGAGTAATAAAGCACACTTCTGGGCGTGTCTTGATGGGGGTGCGCAGACAGTAACTGGTCCCTGGCCACTTCCTCTCTGGCGCCCGCTTCGCTCTCTGCTTCCTGACTGCCACGATGTGGGCAGCTCTGCTCTGTTGCACCTTCATCATGACGATTTGCCTTGGAGCCAGCAGGCCGTGGCCTGAAACTTTTGAAACCGTGAACCAAAATAAACCTGTTCCTTTTTTTTTTTTCCAGATAGGATCTCACTATGTAGTGCAGGCTGAACTCACTATGTAGCCAAGGCTGGCTTCGAACTCTCGAACTCACAGTGATCCTCCTGCCTCAGCCTCCCTGAGGGCTAGATTATATGTGTCGGCCACCATGCTGGCTTTAAACCTCTCCTTTAAACTGCAGGTGTCAAGTATTTTGTGCCAGCAACAGAAAGGTGACTAATATAGGACTCTTTAACTATTCTTAATATCACACTTATATGAATAACAACATTACAGAAAACAAAAATCTGACCTAATTTTATAGCATCTTCTTCATTCATCTCAATGTCACTCAGTATCAGCTTCATAAGGTTCTTCAAGTTACCCAAGCCATCAGTCAGACCACCTGCCAAAAGGAAAAAGCTTAGATTGTGCAGAACTGACACAACTGCTACTTATTACTATGTCGTTCAGTGTTAGTATCATTTCTGTTGCCAATCCGAAGATTGCAGTTATCACCATGAACAGTAATGCTAATGAAACTGACACAAAAATGTATCTCAAATTTTAATTCAGTTTTGGTTTTTTGAGACAGGGTCTCATCATGTTGTTCAAGCGGGCCTTGAATTCACTATGTAGCACAGATTGGCCTTGAACTCATGAGGATCCTCTGGTCTTAGCTTCCTGGATGCTGGGATTACAGGTGTGCGCTACCATGCTGGACAACAAAAATGTATTTTTAAATCAAGAATATGTACAGGACTAGCTATAAGCAGAGTCCACAAACAAAATTCCATTTTATTTTTTTTTTTGAGACAGGGTCTTCAACAACAACAAAAAAAAAAAAAAAAAAAGAAATAACCTGGTTATAGTGTGGGTGAAATAACAGAGAAATCTACACATTATGAAATAACTGCATGCCTCTAAATAATCATGAGTCAAAGAGGAATTCTAGGAATTATACTATGCCTTGAAAGTACAGAAATAAAGATAAATATAAGGATAGTAAGGTAACAAAGCCCTTATAGGGAGATTTATAGCATTGAATACTTGTGATGAAAGTGAGGGAAGGTCTCAAGTTTATACCCTGAGCTTAATACATAAGAGACTACAGAAAGGAGAGTAAAATAAATCCAGTGCAAGGGAAAGGAAGGAAATAATAATAATAAAATATCAAAATAGGGGCTGGGGATTTAGCTCAGCAGCAAAGTGCCTGCCTGGCAAGCACAAAGTTGTGAGTTCAGTTCCCGGTACCGGAGAAAAACCAAAAAAAATAATAATAATAAAAATTAAAAAAAAAAAATCAATAAAGTTACAAACAAGTAATAGAAAGCAATGAAACAAAAAGTTAGATCTTTGGAAAGAGCAATAAAATTGATAATTTTCTAGCAAGAATGACAAAGTAAAAAAGATACACAAATTATTAATATCAGAAATGAAAGGCAAGTTATCACGATGGACACTGAAGACATCAAAGAACAACTAGAAAATAATGGAACAAACTTACATGAATAAATTTGACATCTTATTTGAAATGGTCCAATTTCTCAAAAACTACAAACTACCAAAACTCACCTAAGATGAAACTGATAACTTGGAGTCTTATAACTATTAAAAATTTGTAATTTAAATTTTTCCAAAAAAATAAGCCTACAATCACAGGTATTTTTATTTGCAAATCCTACCAAACATTTAACGAAGAAACAGCACCATCTCTATACAGTCTGTTCCAGAAAATAGAAGCAGAAGCAACACTCCCCAAACCACTTTATGCAGCCATCATTAACTTGAGATGAGACCCAGAGAGAGACACTACAAGAAAATAAAACTTCAGACCAACATCATTCATAAAAAGAAGCAAAACTCCTCAACAAATTAGCAAATGGAATTTGGTCATATATGAAAATGCTATTATTACATCACCAGGAAGTGGGCTTTGTACTGCAAGGATACAGGGCTAGTTCAATACTTGGAAATCAGTCTAACTATATTAATAGTCTAAAGGAGAAAAACTACATGGGAAGGAAACTTCTCCAACCTAATAAGGGGCATCTATAGAAAACTACAGTTGCCATCATCCTTATCGGTGACAGACTGTTTTGTTTTTTTTTTTTTTTTTCTTCAGGTACCAGGAATCAAACTCACAACCTTGTGCTTGCCAGGCAGGTGCTGTGCCACTGAGCTAAATCCCCAGCCCCTCGGTGACAGTCTGAATGCTTCCTCCCTAAGATCAGAAACAAGTCAGGAACGACAAGGGCAAGGCAAGGGCATTGGCTGGTGGGTAGCCAGTCCTCGGCTTGTGAACCCAGTAGATTCAATAACACAGGACACTGAAATAAAAGAGACACCAAATAGAAATTAGACACCAAATAGAAAATAGACACTGAAGAAAATAGTTTTGAATAGATAGATAAATTGAAATAAAAGAGACACCAAATAGAAATAGACACTAAATAGAAAAGAGACATCAAATAGAAATAAAAGAGACACCAAATTGAAATAAAAGAGACACCAAGTAGAAAAGAATAAAACTATTTTTTTGGAGATGACATATTGTCTATGATTAAAATTTTAAAGAATCTATAAAAACAAACACCTCCTAGAACTAATAAGTGTGTTTAGCAAAGGTGCAAAAATATGGCAAAACACCAAACACAGTTGTAGCTCTACATTCTAGCAATAAACTGGAAACCAAAACAAAATTTTAATACCATTTAAACTAGCTGCAGCTGGGCACTGGGGATCCATGCCTGTAATCCCAGCACTTGGGTGGCTGAGGCAGGAGGATTGCCATCAGTTCAAGGCCCTCCTGGCCTACATTAAGAAGATCAAGGCCAGCCTGAACTACATAGTGAGATCCTGTCTCAGAAATAAATAAGTAAATAAATAAATAAATGAATGAATAGCTCCAAAAGAATGAAAAAGTTGAGTATAAATCTAACAAAATGGGCAAGTTGTGATAGCACATGCCTGTAATTCCCATACTCTGAGACACTAAGGCAGGAGGATTACAAGTTTGAGACCAGCCTGGGCAATTTCATAATTTAGCAAAACTCTGTTTCAACAGAGTTTCATAAAAAATTTAACAAAATATATCCGGGATCTGTATCTGAAAACTACAAAATGATGATAAAGGAAATCAAAACACAGTCTAAGGAAATGGGAAAAGAAACTACGCTCATGGCTTGGAAAACTCGATCTATAAAGACATTAATTTCTCAGTAATTAATTATTATTATTATTATTATTATTTTGGTCTTTTTGAGACAGGGTCTCACTATGCAGTTCAGGCCAGGCTTGAGCTCACTTTGTAGCCCAGGCTGGTCTCGAACTCACAACGATTCTCCTGCCTCAGCCTCCCGAGTGCTGGGATTACAGGTGTGCACCACCACGCCCAGCTAGCAATTTAAATAGAAGTTTTTGAAGACATAAACAGTGTGATTTGAGAATTTATGTGAAAAGGCAAGGGAACTTGAATATAAGAAAAAAAACTTCGCAAAAGAGTTGAGTTGGAAAAATAACACTACCCAATTTTATGGCTTAGTATAGAGGTAAGACGAGGTGGCAGTGGCAAGTGATAGAGCAATAAGAGAACAGAGTCCAGGAAACACCCACAAAAGAACAGCTGGCTGAGTGGAGCTGAGGTGCAGAGGCAGCTCGAACAAGACACAGCAGTCACTCCAGTACATAGGATAACTGGAAATCCTTGTCCAAGAAAATCAACCTCAACCTAAAATTCGCACCTTGAACAACATTAACTCCAAATGCTTCATAGACCTACTATAAAAACAGAAAACTTTTAAAAATCAGAGACAAGTTTGATGACCTGGGGTTAGGCAACAAGGTTTTAGACATGAGACCAAAAGCATGATGCATAAAGGAAAATGGATCCATTGAACGTCAATGAAATTTAAACTTTTTGCTGTATGAAAGGTGCTGTTAAAACTAGCTGCTCACTGGGAGAAAGTATTTTCAAATCACTTGTCTGACCAAGGACTTGCATCCAGAATACATAAAGAACTCTCAAAACCTATCATTAGAAAGAGAAATAACCTGGTTATAGTGTGGGTGAAAGACTTGCACAGACTCTTCACCCAGGAGGCGGTATGGTTGTTGAGTGAGCACATGAAAAGTCCTTTTTTCCCATTAATGGGATTGAACTCAGGGGTGCTAATTCCACAGCACCCATCCCCCGCCCCTCACCCCCACCTTTTCTTGGCAGTGGTGCTGGGGATTTTTTTTTTTTTTTTTTTTTTTTTTGGTACCAGGACTCAAACTCAGGACCTTGCAATTGCCAGGCAGGCACTTGTGCTGCTGAGCCATATCCCCGGCCCGGTGCTGAGGATTGACATCCACAGCCCTTAATTTTTTTTTTCTTAAATTTTTGAGACAAGGAATTGCTAAGTGGCCCAGGCTGGCCTGCCACTTGCAACCCTCCTCCCTCAGCCTCCGCAGAACTGTACCTGAGATTGCAGACGCCTGTGTGCCAATGCACCTGCAAATTTTCAACTTTTATCAGCCACTAGGGAAATGCTAATTTAGGCTAATGAGATACTGCTATACACAGAATTCTAGTTGCTTCAAATCCTTGTTAGCACTTGGTATTTGGAGGGTTTTTTTCCTTATTATAAAATGACTAAACTATAAACACATAGCTAATACTAAATGCTAGTAACAACGCAGAACAACTAAAATTCTCATCTGCCGCTGCTGGTAATGTAAAGTGATGCAAATCATGAACAGGTCTGGCAGTTCTTTTCTCTTCAAAAATCTAACATATTGTATTTTTTATTGTAATTATTAGTGCATATTCCTTGTACAAAGAGGTTGCTTTGCGACATTTCCATGCATGCATATGACACGCTTTGACACACCTGCTCCTGGCTGCCACCTCTTTCCCCTGCCTCCCTGCCCAAGCACCCCTGACCCTTCTCAAGGAATCCCCCTGCTGCTTGCATGTCATCTTTTTTCAAGATTTCAGAAATGAAAGAAAAATGTGACCCTTGTCTTTCTGAATGTGGCTTATTTTGCTTAACATGGTAGTGTTGAATTCCATCCATTTCCCTGAAAATGACAAAATGACATGATTTCATTCTTTTTTACAGTGGAATAGTACTTCATTTTATATATATATATATATATATATACATACACACACACACACAGACATATATATTTTTTAGCCATTCATCTCTTGACTGGTATTCCATACTTGGCCACTGTGAATAGTGCCACAATAAACGTGGATATGCAGGTGTCTCTGTATTATGCTGATTTTGATTGCTTTGGGTATGTACTAAGGAAGGGTATGACAGGCCCACATGATAATTCTATTTTTAGTTTTTGAGAAACCTTGGTTCTGATTTCCATAGTAGCTCTACTAATTTACATTCCCATCAACAGTGT